AAACGATTCTGAGCGCAGTCAATTGATAGTTATGCTTTGTTTACTATATATATGCATCATATTATAGTAAAATGACATTATATATTTTCTTTAATAACATTTGTTTAATATTTTACCATTTTTCCGTCTTCCGAAATCATCTTAATCCGGGCTTGGGTACAATATAGAGTTTTTTAACCTAACAAATAATTTCCGCATAATATCAGAACTTCAAAAAGCTATAATTTCGAAACTTAATCAGTCCGCTTAATTCTGAATTTTTCATCGTTTTTAAATCGGTAATATACATATGTTTAGAAAAAAAAAAAAAATTATAAATTAGATTTATTCCACATAATTTTTTACTCCAACGATTTTTATCAAAATTTAATAATGCAATTTCTTTATAAAAAAAAAAATACTATATTAAATTTAATTTGTTTTTTTTACTCGAAAGTTAGAATTCTAATGAACCTCCTGTTAAATTTTCAAGCATTTCTGTTCAAGTCTAACAATTTTACAACCTACCGAATAAATATTACGTACAAAAATCGCAAAATTAAAATGCCTCACCTAATAAATAGCTCAAAAATGGCTTAAATTTTTTGAAAATTTTACCGCATCTAGAAAAAACAAATATAAGATAATATAATATAATATATTTCTTTCCAAATTTCTAGTTTTTACGAATCTTATTAACTGAACTACAACAAAAAATAAAATTGAAAAATAAAAAAAAGGATTATTCTTGTACATTTCCCGTTTTTCTTACATTTTATCCTGGTTTTTCTCAGATATTATGAAAACCACATGGAAAATCAAAAAAATGATCTCTCAAAAGTACCATCTGGACATTTTCTTTCAAAAATAGTACCGCGTGTATATATATATGAGCAAGATTTCTAGTCAAATTTTTGTACATAATATATACAAAAAAAAAACTACACTCAGAATCTAAAAGTATTTTGAAAAAGTCTCCGCTGCCGTATCTGTACACTATTAAATTAATCAAGTATCTAGGTATCTATTTTATTTTATTTTAAAGTAACGTTAAACCCCAATTTATTATTTAATAGTGAGTTCCCGAGCCTTCCCGATGAAGATTTACTCTTTTAATATGTTGGAAATAAAATGAATAATGAAAACACCACAAGCGATTAGTACTACATGCTAAACCTATATAGGTACTTGATTATTAGTTATTACTTTATTGCTTTAATTCCATAAATATTTTTACTTTGTACCCCGTATGTAACTCAATAACTAAAACTAATTATTTTCCTTAGTTATAAATTAAAGGTACAGTGTTGATTGAATGAATAGTTTAATACAAAATATCAGGTTTCATTTAAGATTCTGAGCAAGGAATCTCAAATTGATTCGAATGTATAAAACTATGTAATGTATGTGTTTTACTGATTGTGTATGTGAATAATTTATTTATCTACTAAAAATATTGCTCCAATAATTGAGTGTAGGGTTCCTGGATCCAGATTTTGTTTAGTTAGTAGGTACATTAACGAGAACATTTTAGATTCTAAGTACACCAAGAAATATGTTGGTTTTACTAATGAGTATTTTTTTTCTCGTCTGTAAACAGTTATATTTTACCAAAAATCTTACTCCAATGAAAAATGTCGAGAAAAAATTTCGTAGCATTTTGGATAATTTTTTTTTTTAATTTTAAACTTTAAAGGAATCCAAACAAATATACGCAGTGCTCAAACTAAAAAAAAATAAACAAAGACAATAAGACTTCAACAAAATGATCGTTATTCTCAACTAAACTACACCTTCACACTAATTTTAGATTTTGAGTGGAGCGAGGAATGTATTGGTTTTACAATGTAGTTTGTTTTTTTTTTTACTTTGGACAACTTTTATACCAGCAGTTTTGTTCCGATTTTTGAGTAAAGCATTTTATCTGAAAGAAAATCTAACTGGGATGATACTTTGAGGTCATATTTTGATTTTTTCAGTTTTCCCAATATATGAAAAAAACCAAGAAAAACATCTAAACATAAACGCTATCTATTGGTCAATAACCGACATAACGTACGTGTTATTAATAGCGCTAAATTCAGAAATTTTTCAATACTCATGAGTCATGACATACTCTTATTATTATTTTAGTAACAGTCAATAGTCATGAATTAAAACTACATATTTGCAATGGTGCGGTCCACATCCTTATTGATTTTTTTGCCAATTGCATTCACTCAAAACTGTTTTGCTTGAAACACGTATACATTTACAGAAACGCATAAGTAATTATACAATTATATAGTATGTAGTTACTAGTTAGTTATTTTTCGCATATAGGTACGTCTTGTTTATCAAAACATCGTTTGTAAATCCATGTTATCACAACGATTCAAGGATGTATAAAAACAGACAGTGATATTTTCCTTCTAGATTCTGAGCGGAGCGAGGAATGTGTTGGTTTTACAATGATATTTAATTTTTTTTTCTGTAAACAAATTTTCTACCATAAGTTTTGCTCCAATTTCCGACTGAGCATAAATCCGTTATCCGTCTCTTCTAAAGTAATGCGTGGAAAAATAGTAGCATTTCACTCATCAAAAAATTATTGTTAAAACTAATATTAATTTGTAAAAACACAATAATAAGTACAAAATAGTTGTAAACAATTATTTTATAATCAACAGTCTATAAAAAATAATAATTAAAATAAACATAGAAAAGTGAGATAGTTAAGTTATCATAGAGAGAAATTGTATGCAACGTTCAATGTCCTGTAACATTTTAGAAAGTAAACGTATTTCATTTCGGGACCGGTGGAATATAATTATTTTCCGGGCTGGTTTTATAGTACGGTTGTTCAACCCGCCCTGCCCGCGTGAAATATAACGTATTTTAACCCTCGCGCCATTCTCGGAGATGCGCATTGTTCATTAACTTCAACAGTAATAATATTCCAACAAATCGGCGTTTATATATCCGGTAAACTGCAATCCAACGATTCAAATGAACAATTTCTCTGTATAAATAAAATAACACGTCCTGACTGATTAGTCATCGTACAGCCCAAACCATTGGACGGAACAAGCCGAAATTCGGCATACAGATAGCATGTACAGATGACGTAGGCATCCGTTAAAAGAGTCTTTTTTGAGGAGAGATGAACGGGAACAAATTATTTTTTATAACGAATTTTCCCAACGCAGAAATGGGTATTCCGAAAAAAAAAATAAAAAAAAAAATACGTATATATTAGAGATACGCGAGTAATTCGTGATAAAAAAAAAAGTTGGGAAGGTAGAGGGGGAATTTACGCAATGATTATAACATACCACTTGAAAGTAAAAACATTATTGACACAAACAGTATTTTAGTAATAATAATAAATCGTGGTAAAAACACATATTGTTCATTATTATTTGATATCACTTTTCTCGATATTTGACGCGTTGGAATAATACTAGTTTTCAGATTGTCTACAAATTAAAGCCCGTTATTTACAATGCCTTATCAAATCTAACCAATAATGTTATTGTATAGTTACTTCAATAAAAGTATTCAAACTATATCTCAATATTTATAAGTGCATCTTTTAATACCATTACGAAAAATATATTTCGACGTCTAAGTAGCAAATAAGATAAAAATTATAATACATTTTATTTTACCGTATACGATTTGTAGATGACTTTATAACAATTTAAACATTGAGAGTATTGAGAGTAAAGCAGTTTAACAAAAAACCACTGACCGTCGCGCGTCGGTTGCAAACCAATCCGTACCATAATAATTATTGGATTTGAAATTATATTATTGACCGTGAATCAACAATAAGGTAAATATATTATACAAAAATTATTATCATGTTTTCCTTAAATATTTTCAGATTAAAAAAGACATACCTATCTATTGTATATTTATGAAAAAAAAATACTATTTCAATATTTCTAAATTCTAAAAAAATAAAAATAAACTAAAATTTGAATTAACACATTTTCGTTTTTTTTCTTTTCAAGTCGCTTCTGCCCTGAAGTGCCTTTTACACAACTCTTGTTTTTCCCGTCTTGTCTCGCACGTGATTTATGACAACAACGCATTCTGCACTTTAACGGTTGTAGCTCACTGATTGAGTTTAGGGCAAAAGGGAACTTTTGGAAACTTAAGAGACATATTGTTTTAAACAAGAGTAGGAATTATATTGTTTAATGTTTTCATTTTTTGATAAGTTATTAATAGTCGTCATTAAGAGAAATTAAAAATTAAAATACGCGTTTTTTCATAATGAAAAACGAAAATATTCAAAACAAGGTCAAGACTATATTTTGTTATCAAGATATTGTTGAAGTGCTGAATGCCTTTGACGTTGCTGTACATATCACTCGCGTAAAACAAATAGAGAAAATAAAATATGTCGTTTAAGGGTGTCTTAATAACCATCTAAAGCCGTGATCTATTTCATTTTAGAAAATATATTAATGCGCATACATATTTTATATCAATCGAAATTAAAACATTTATAGCCAAATCTATTGTGTTTATTATTTACAATTTTCAAATATCACCAATGTGAATGATGTGACCGGATCTAAGACGTCTGTGATCTTTGCACATTGCTCCGTGATTTTTAATGAGCGATAACGCCTATAACGCGGTAATTGTATAAGTAGGTATATTGATAATTGATAACAGTATCGTTCACGTGCGGGGTCAACCAAAAAATTCGATCTTCTCGGAAATTTGTTTTACTATAGTAAAATACACGTTTTCGCTATCGTGGTCAAATAATTTTTATTATCCCTTCGTATCAGAAAAAAACAAATTGTTCCCACCGCTGATCTGTAGACTCCTTAATAATCTATCGATTAGATTGGACGCGTGCGGACAGGTGTATGATCCGGTATACCAGTAGTTTTCAATCCGCTCGGACTTACACATACGTATACCTATTGTAGACGGTATTGTTCCGTTAGTTCAAGTCCACAACCATCACAGTTAGCCCGCCTTCTTTTTTATGATCGATTAAGAAGTGCCGTAATATAATGCCCAACAAAAAATCGCGTTTTCTTCCGGTGTTCTCGGTGTAAAACCGACGTATTTTAGACACGTACAGATGTATTATATAATATAAACTTTCAACGGATAAATAAGTTACATACGATTTTCCACATTTCGCAGACGAATTTATGAACGAGACTTGAAGCAATCTGCAATATTACAGTTCAATATACAGAGTGTATCAGGACTATTTGACATTCTTACATGTAACTCTAATGTAAAATGCCAAATAGTCCTGTTACACCCGGTTACACGTGTTTTTTTTTTTTTAATTTTATTTTTAGATTCGGTCCGCAATGAACCGAGCCTTTTGGTGTTTGTTGCTGGCAGTGACGTCGGGACGACCGGATTGCGGTGATGCCGCTCAAATCCTAGCGCTAATGCCGTTGGCGGCCAAGAGTCACTGGAACGTGGTGGACGCGGTGCTGCAGACGCTAGTGGCCGGCGGACACAACGTGACCGCGGTGACGCCGTTCCCCAAGAAGAAGTCGATCGCTAATTACACGGAAGTGGACGTATCTCGGTTGGTTCCGTCAGGCGTCAGTGTGTCCTGGGACAAGGTCATGGGAGAATGTTCGGTGGCCAACAATCTTCCGTATCTGTCCGGCCGGCACAGGCTCATGTGCAAGACGGTGTACGAACACGACGAATTTTGGCGTGCCGTCGATTCAAATAAGTAATAATTTCACTCGTATATACAGGGTGTTTCAAAAATAATAACCGTGCTATGCTTAAAAAATGGCGATATTATTGTCATAAATATAAAATATGTGTTCTAAATGTTTTAACATGGGTTTCATTAAACATCTTAAATCGGGTTTATTGAATCGGCTCTGAAATGTACTTACATGAAAAATCACAATATTTCAAAAAACTTGGACGACAAAGAATCCACATAAATAATGTTCTTACTTCTTACATTACTGTTTGATAATAATGATAATACTATGTAGATTTACTATAGGAATTATCGATTTTATTTATAAATACCTACTTAAATTAACATAAATATGGAACGATTATTATAAAAAAAGCTGTCCCAGAATAATGGGAACGGGTGAAGCCACTGTTGTAGGTGGGAAGTTGGGAAGGTAGGATATATACGATATTTCAATGTATATCTATAGGCAACGATTAACCATTGTTAACGAAAAAACGATTCTCAGCGGATAGTTTTTTGGTTGCTTTGTTTTCAATATATATGTCATATTTTAGTAAAATAATTACATATGCGTTAAAAATTTTCTTTAATAATCTGTTTAATATTGTGCCTATTTTCCCATTCTATCAGTTTTCCCATTTTTCCCCCGTTTTAAAAATAAGAATTTCGAAAAAAAAAACATTCAACTAATTAGCATTAGATATGACTTGTTCATTACAGAGCTTCTGGCATCGTCCTGCGACGCGTACATCTCGTATTATTTAAAAGTCCCGCGGATAGTTATCGCCTCCAGCCACGTGCACACGTGGTATCATCACACGTTCGGCAGCCACATGAACCCCGCGCACGTGTCCACGTACCACGCGCCGTTCGCCGTGCCCGGAAACTTCGTCCAGCGAATGGCGAACGCTTACGATTACCTGTACTCGCACGTGGTATTCAGGTGGGTGGACCGCGAAGCCACGGCCATCGGTCGTAAATACTTTGGGGCCGACGCGCCGGACGCGGACACGTTGATGCGGGACACGTCGCTGGTGTTCGTCAACGGGCACCGCACCGTGGATCTGGCGAAACCTTTGTTGCCGAATTTCGTGGACATCGGCGGGATACACTTGACGCGGCCGGAACCGCTGCCCCGAGTAAGTACCCGACTGAAAAAAAAAAAACGTTCGCCACCCGTACGCGTACGTTACCGACGCCGGTGAAATGCAGTTGAGCACGGTCCCTATTTTTTAACAACCCGATTGAGCACAGTCGAACGAATGCACCGTTGCCAATTGTTTTGTCTGTCTACAACTAAGCACCGACATACATGGGTCCTTTGAAACAATCGTATACTACTACTATACTCGTGTAAAGCCGGAATGAATATTCGTCAATTGTTATGCTTTTACGGTCAATTGAAACTATAACAGTCACATAAATATGAGTTTTATTGAAGGCGAAAAATTAAAGGAACTATAATGGTTTACGACTAAAATATTTATTAATAACGGGAAATAATTATTTAGGGATATCAAATGTTAAATATTAAAATGTATGATTTATTTTTTATGATGACATTTATAAACAATATGTTAAATATTATATTTAAGGACAAAAACGAAAACAGTATTTAAAAATATATATGAAAACAGTATTTAAAAATATATATGAAAATTGGGACATAAGTATTTTTTAAGTAAAAAAAAATATTGACACGCTTATCATTTAATTTATAAATAATAAAAACGACTATGTTGAACGTATTATCGTGCTCGATCGGGCCGTGAAAAAGGTAAACTGTGCTCAATCGGGTTGCAGTCATTACCGTACGTTTCTCGTTTAGGACATTGAACAATTCATCGACGGCTCCCCGAACGGAGTCATATATTTTACGTTCGGATCCACCATGAAAATGGAGACGGCGCCGGAGCGTTTGCAAAACGCGTTCGTGGAAGCGTTGAGGGAAATACCGCAAAGAGTATTGTGGAAGTACGAAAACCCGAACCTCAGCAATTTGCCGAAAAACGTGCTCGTAAATAAATGGTTTCCTCAAAGAAGTATATTAGGTGAGACAGAATTAAATGACGTTTAATCTACTTAGCAAATCTATATATTTTTATAATTATCAATTTTTTTTTTTTTTTTTTATGTATAACCCGAGTATTCGACAAAAATTAATATATTTTATTATCGCACGTGTAGAATGATGGTATTTTTACGTGTGAGGGAGGTGTGTTATAGGTGGAAAATTGAAAAAGATTTAGCTCGGCCGATCAAATATTATTTTGTTTTTCTCCCCAGAACATAAAAACGTAAAATTGTTTATATCCCACGGCGGCATGTCCGGAATATACGAAGCCATCGACAGCGGAGTTCCTATACTGGGAATCCCGTTATTTTTCGACCAATTTCACAACATCGCGAACATCGTGCATTGGGGTTCGGGCGTGATGTTAGACCACGAAACGCTGACCAAAGACATATTGGTGAACGCCATCAGAGAAATGATCGCCAATTACGACAAGTGAATCTCGTTAATAATAATTTTATAAACCGCACAGTAATAATAATAATAATTGGTTATTCAAATGATTAAAAACGGGAAAATGCCCAATAGTACAGGTATTAGAATACATTTTACAATAAATTAATGTACATAATGTATAACATTAAAATTCTTAATGTTAATAAACCAGAATATAAACCAAATAGATTATAAAAGACAATATTACATATTGTTGATTAAGTATATTTTATGAATTGTGACTAATTGAGAACACATTATACAAAGTTATATGGCTCTTGGAATTGGAGAGTTTTTTTTAAATAATTTGTGCTGTGTGGATGGCAAGTAAAGCATGATGGTGGATCGATTATTATAAAGTGGAATGTTAAATGGAATAATTTTTAGTAGTAAATAAGGGGCATCGATGTAGTTATTATTTTATTGATTTGTATAGAAAAGAAATGTCAGCTAAATCACATCTAGAGGCTAGAGTAGGAGGGTTCTTATTGGCGAAAAATCGTACTGGATAATGGTACCGATTAAATTAAGGATCGTGTATTATAATTATATAGTATAATTACGCAATATCGGAGCCTGTAATAACCGAACGCTTTCAAAGAAAAAATCATATTATTGGTCTCGTATAATAATGTTAAATTTATAATCGATTAATGTATATCCGTTTGTAACGCTATTGAATTTTGCACATATAGGTATAAGTTAAATGCGATGGAACTCTCAAAAAGATTTCAAGACCGGCCGAAAACGCCGAAAGAAGAGGTTTTATATTGGACCGAATACGTAATCAAACACAAAGGCGCCCCCCATTTAAAATCGGCTGCCCTCAATTTGTCCTGGTACCAGTATTTATTGATTGACGTTCTAATGACCACTGTGTCAATTCTGTTAATTTGTTCGTGTGTTATTTTTATGACGATCAGATATTTAGCGAAACAAATATGTAGTCCGAGTAAATCGAAAAAAAAGCTAAATTAAAAACGTCGAGTATCTATACATTTTTTATCGGATATAATATTATTGTGTATGTACCTATAGAGAATTTGGCCAAAATAGCGAAAAAATAACCGCGAATGTAAAAATTGCGAACTAATAATAACGAAAATAAAAATAGCGAATTTTAAAAAAGAGCGAAAATACAGTATATTTTTTGAACATGGTCATTATAATCGTAATGTCATTAAACTCATGAGGTATTTTTTTGCATTGGTATAATTTGATTAGCGATAATTTAGCGATGACAATAATTTAAAAAAAAAAAAACAATTACCTTGGTATTTAGTGACGAGTTATATGCTACACCATTAACAAAGTTTTTATTATCATTAAAGTATTATAATAAAATTTATAATTTATGTATAAGTTTCACTATTATTAATTCGCGATCTTTACGTTCGTGGTTATTTGTTTCGCTATTTTGGCCTAGTCCCATATATCTATATTCTATATACCTGCAGTAATTCACACGGTATAGGTACTTCAATACAAATTATGTTAAACGAAAGGGCAATTCCCGTCATATATGAAAAATAAAAAATAAAATAAAATTATAATAATCAATCGATAAATTATTAACTATTATTATTAATCAGTTTATGTTTTTATATATTTCACCGAATATTTCGTTTTACCGGATCATGTTTTTATTTCCGCATTATAATAGACATCGATGTGAAACAATAAAACTATTACATTTTAATCACTTGTTTCGTGTCTTATCTACTTTCTATATAATTAAAACAAGGTGTAAAATGTATCTCCCAACTCCGCCGCCGTTATTATACATAATATTGTTTAATTAGCATTTGAACAGCTGTTTAGGACGTAACCGGACGAACTAGGGTGAAGTTCGTTCTATAAAACGATAATTTTTTCCTAGCCCAGTTAATAACAACACTTGCGTCGTATGAAAAACATGTAATACGTAGGTATTTATATAAAACTATACGCTATTCGCAATTCCGACAAATTAATTTTGATTAGGTTCAGTTATTATCAAAGTTGTTTATTTTTAACCATATTGTTGATAATAATCGTATGATCGTATCTACCCGTTGCAAATGGATTTTATTAAGGTGTGTACAACTATTATATTCATCATTCAGCCCGTCGCGTTTTCAAATGGAGCTCAGGTATTCGCTATCGTGCCAATGTATGGCCGGAGTCATTGGAACGTAATGGATGCTGTTTTACAAACACTTGTATCTGCGGGCCATAATGTAACCGTTGTCACTCCATTTATCAAAAATGAAAAAATTACAAATTACACGCAAGTATGAGCATTTTTTATATTATTATTATTAATATTTTTAGTAAAACTGTATAGCAATCCTAACGACGTGACGTTAAACTAAGTAAATATTGTATACAACTATAAAGAGACTTTAATATTATATTGTACTAGGTACCTGTATACTTTTGCCGTTGGATTACGATTTTAGAACCTGTTTTATCATGCTATCTTCATACATGATTAACCCTTGTAATTCTTCTGCATTTTTGTACTGTTTCTATTATCCAGTTCCACCTTATTTCATATTGTTGAGTTGTATGCATCTTTTTTTGGTCCATACATTCTCCGTAGTATTCCCAAGGAAAAATGTCAGTCTTTAAATGAAAAAGTTCTTCGTACCTTTTTTTATTAAAAAAGACCACTGCGTAAGCCAAAAAAAAAAGTTGATAAATTAAAGTGAGGAAAATTCAAATAGAAATTAGAATACAAAACGGAGAAGCATGTACCCTGCAGGATAGGAATATATGGAAGCAGGTGTGTCGTGGTAATGAGCCTCAATAGCATTTTATTTTTATACTTTTTGAATACATTGTGTTTCATAATATTCTGTTACCGTGATAGTTTAATTATAAGTTCCTGTCTCATTAATATTCATATGGTAGGTAATATTAATAAGGAAAAATAAGTAATACTTTATACGGTCCATTAATACACCAGCAAAAATATCACAAAACCATTTTTTCGTTATTATGCATCATGCATTTTTATTATAATATAATACTCTGACTATCTAATTGAAAAAAAAAAAAAAAAACGTACCCACCTAATAAGTTGTATGCACGTATACGCATATATACGTCAAAATTTCAATTCAAAAGAACATTCAAACCTCTTTTAAACTTATACCTTTCGTTTTTTACACTAAGATCGATTCGTCACCTTACTTGAAACGATCGTCATCGGCGCCATTTGAAATGATTTTCGGTAGCAACGGAATTGATTTTTTAATCAAAACACACCAAACGACATGCGAAGCTTTATACGAATCCAAAGAATTCTGGACAGCGCTCGAATCCAATAAATACGATATTTTTATCACACAATTGTTGGGCTCTGGATGTGATTCGTATATAGCTTATAAACTGCAGGTGCCGATGATCGCTGTTTCTTCGTCTGCTTTCCCAACACAGTGCGTGCGAACACATTTCCAATAAAATTAGTTCTGTTTTTATTCAATTAAATTTAAATGAATTAAATTATTCAATAATAAATGAATTGTTCCTTACAGGTTCAACGGTCCCAATGGGAATCAATTGGTACCCTCGTGCACATCTACACTGAACGTACCGCTCGCTTGTCCTCAGACCTTTTGGGATCGACTTTTAAACAGTTATGATTACGTATTGGCAAACACACTAAGATGGTGGTATGATCGTAGGGCCACGGAAATCGGTAGACAATATTTCGGTGAAGACGCTCCGGATGGATACGCGCTGTTGCAAAAAATGGCGTTAGTGTTTGTGAACAGCCATTTCACTTTTCACTCACCCAGACCTTGGACACCGAACCTAATCGAAATCGGTGGTATACATGTTACCGACCCGAAACCATTACCGGAGGTAGGTCATTGTAATTGACTGTATATTACAATGTTTGCAATATTTGCAATATTTTAAGTGGTGGCCGGACAAAATCTTGCTTGAACAAATAACTACAATATAATCCAGGTATATGTCTTGCGTCATATGTTTTTTCAACATGTGATTTATTAAAAGGGTCAAACAATTTATTTGTATACACAGGTTTTTTATACTCAAGCGAGAAACCGTCAAATAATGAAATAAAAAAATGTATAAACGCATACAAAAAATAATAATCGTAAATGTCGTGCGAGAGTCACACAAATAGCGACGAATGATAGTTTTAAATACACATTCCCATCAATCGGATCCAGCCAAAATTAGAAGTAGATAAGCGAACTTATCCATATGACCATTATTATATACACGCTGTTTTCATAAAAGTTAACCAGGACATACTCTGGGAGTTTCTAATGTAATGGCCAGCGTCAATTTTCTTAAATAATGCAATATTCGGCGATATAGAAAATACTCAGAAGATTTCTCCTTCTAAACTATCTTCCTTAGAGATTATAATATTATACTCGAATAATTCACACTCATGGTGAAAAAAAGCAGTTCTTTTTACACCGATATTGGTAAAGAAGATCCTCCAAGATTATCAATTTTTGTCTACCAAAACAAATTTGGAACTAACGTGCAATCATTGGTTCTCTAATGGAACGTTCTCCTCTTACGTCCGTTTTATTTGTTTTTTTTTTTTTTGTGAGATTTTGTTTTAGATTAATTTTAAGTGAACTTCTTAAATATAGACACGTTGTACCTCACACAATTTTATACCCGGAGTCAAACGATAATTTTATTTACCCCGATTTATTTTATCGTATATACTATAACTATAATATACGGTGCCTGCATATATATATAGTTTTCAACCTTTTTGGGCCCAAGGCTCTTCTGATTTTGAAATCCAAATTAGCGGCTCCCTTACGAATAATGATAATAATATAAAAAATAAATTTACTGTATTACTCTATCATATTTACTATAAACGCGGCTCCCTTGGCACTAAACCACGACTCACCTGAGAGCCGCGACGCCCAGGTTGAAAAACACTGTTTTATATATTCGAACTTGCGCGAGTTAATTATTGTTAGTTAATTGTTAACTATTTGGCGTTAGGATATACAACAGTTTATCGACGACGCTCCCGACGACGGGGTGATATATTTCTCGTTCGGTTCTACCGTAAAAATGGACTCTTTGCCGACGCGTATGCAAAACTCGTTACGGGACGCGTTTGCCGAAATGCCACAACGGATCCTGTGGAAATACGACGCTGACAAGATGGAAAATCAGCCGCGAAACGTAATGATTAAAAAGTGGTTTCCCCAACGAGACATACTGGGCAAGTATAATAAAAACGATACGGTTTTAACGAACGATTAAACGATCAAACGATCGTATTATTTTCGTATCTTTTTTAGATTCTGAGCGGAGCGAGGAATGTATTAGTATTAGTTTTACAATGATGTTTATTTTAATTTTATTTTTTATCTGTGAACAACTTTTCTACTAAAGTTCTTGCCCCGGATTATAAGTGTAACACATTTTCTGAAAGGAAATCTGAATGGGGTAATACTTTAGGGATGTCATTCTTTTGATTTTCCCGATAAATTGGAAAAACCGGGAAAAAACGGCGGAAAAAGGGAAAATATACGAAATTTAGATATTAGTAAAAAAATATTACAGTCCTTTATTTCGTGTGAACAATTTTCGTATCGGAAAATTTGTTGTGATTTACAATGACAGCACTTTTCCTGAAAGGAAATCTGATTGGGGAGGTACTTAAAGGAGGTCAATTTTTGATTTTCTTAGGAGCTTCCCCAATAAATTGGAAAAAAATTAGGAAAAACATGAGAAAACTGGAAGAACGGAAAAATTGGTACAATATTAAACAAATATTAAAGAAAATGTTTAATTATGCATAAGAAAATGTCAATAAAAAGGTTTTTTCGTTAGCAGTGGTTATTTGTTGTTTATACAGATGTACATTAAATTCCCGTATATATCCTACCTTCTCGAATTCCCAACTACAACAGTGGTTGCTCCCATCCCCATTATCCAAGGATAGCTTTTTTATTTTATGTTTATTATAATAACTGACGATTTTTTTTTATATAGCTCATCCAAAAGTGAAATTATTAATTTACCACGGCGGTTTGTCCGGTATGTATGAGGCTATTAACAATCAAGTACCCATACTCGGTATTCCGCTATTTTCCGACCAACACAGAAACCTAGCGAATTCGATTCATTTGGGACTGGGCTTGAGTTTAGACGCTGAAAAATTAAACAAACAATCATTATTGGCGGCCGTCAGAGAAATAATCACCAACAAAAAGTACGTTTTTACCATTTTTTTTCCTCAGGTTTTTCAACCAAATCGTAAGAAATCCATAAGTAATCCGAATGTAATAGAACGTATGCCATATTTATAAAATATTTTTTAAACGTCATAACGAAAATATTTCTTAATAGATATTTTAAAAATATAAATTGTAGAATACTTTAAGTAAATTATTTTGTAAATATTTTAAAAATCATTTATTTGAAATATTTTGTGATTATCATACAGTATATATTTTAAAAATTACCATTTTTTATTTTTTTAAATACTATCTATACTCGTATGTAGATAGTATTTAACGACATCATAAAAACCTTTGAAAACTATTTTATGTTTTTTACGTGACCCTCGTACGGTTTTCGTTTTCCGATTTAATTGAATTTTCCGTTTTCCGAAAACGTGTTTCGCTTCGTCCGGCCGGCCCAGCCGTTCTCCAACGCCGTTTCTCGCCGTTATTGGTCGTCGCATATTGTTTTACTACGGCTGACTGTATTTCGCCGTTTTCGACGTTATTTTCACAGGATTCTGTACGTATTCCTTGGTTTTCTCGCAAAACGCTCATTTTATTTCGCCGTCTCTTGATTCCACTTTTTTCGGGTCGTTTACTTGTATTAATCGAATAAAAATATAACATATACCCGTAAAACGATAATTTTTTTCAATAATTTATTGTAGTGACCAAGTAGATGGAATTTTACTGGTTCTTAGATACCCGGCCGCCGCTTATTGGATTTTTTTCGATTTCCCCCCCCCCTCATTTTCCGTATTATATTTTCTTGTTATATTGTTTATATTGAACGTTTTTCTATTAATTTTTCGCGAATTTTCCCTTTTTTTTCCCCAAATATAATATAAAATATTGTAGAAATGATAAACAAAAATATTTTAAAAATATTTTTTAAATAGCTTAGAAATATTTTGAATATGTATTTGAGGCGACAAAATTAATTTACAACACATCATTAAAATATTTTCCGATGATCTAAATATATTCTTAAAATGAAGTATATTTTCTGAAAAATATTTTGAAAGTATAAATTTGCTGTGTGAGTTATGTTGTTCTCTCTGCCATTCTCATATCTATCTGAATAAAGCAGAATTCCCGAACTATAATAATGTAGTTTTCCCACGCCCGACGTTGCCCGTTCTAATTTTTTATTATTTTTACCTTTATTTCCGTTTTTCTTTTGTTCGTATCAGTGTATTGAACTAAAAGAAATAGTTAAAAAATGGGTAGCTGTAGACTAAAAGTGTTTTAATGTATGTAATACATTTTTTTCATTCGTACGTGTTACTTTAGATACCCTCACAGGCATAATACAGGGATTAAACTATGTATCCACTATAATAACCCTAAAATGATGAGGACATAATAGTACTACAGTGTTGTTACCATATCAAAAAATACAAAAATAGAGATGACATTTTACGTGTTTTCACTTACCCATCCAGTACAGCGCATAGTTTTTTTTTTTTATTCATGTTACTAAGGTAGCCCATCCTATTTCAAACCAATAATAGACCAGCAGACAGTCAGATAGACTCTTTATTTTAAGTTGTTATAGTTGTTATGGCATTTCTGTGCATTATTTATTTCTTTTGTTATAAATTGTTGTTCATTTCATCCGTATCGCTACGGTAATCCATAATTGAACAAAAATAATTTAATTTTCTTACCAAAAATACCTAAAACCCTTTCATCTCCTTCAAGTTTTATATTTGAGACAAAAAGTAGCATGTATTTTTCTCTAAGGTCACATCTATTTCTATACCAAAATTTATCAAAATCGGTTCGGTAGTTTTTGCATAAAAGAGTAACAATCATCCATAAATCCTCACAAACTTTCACATTTATAATATTATTTAGTAGGATATCATTTGAAATTCACCTAATTTTTTTTAGGTAATACGTCATATTTGTTTTTATAAAATTTTGTTCGTTAGAAAAATGTACTCTGATAATAGGTATCATAGTTCGCATCAACAGTGAATAATAATATTTATCATAAATATTAATTGGTTCTCAAATCCAAGCAATCGATTTTTTTACGTAGGTGCCTTCTTATTAAATCTGTTCCCAAAATATGGATTATCAGCCCTACATTTAATTGGTAAATTATTCATTGATTTTCAAAACTTTCCAAAACGGTGCATTAATCGTCCGTAAAAATAATTTAAATCTATTTGAATTTTATAATCATCTATATTATTATAAATTATTTACCCGCATTATGTATTGCAATCAATCAGAATTAATTGAAAACATGAGAAAAAATACAATTGCTAATATTCGTATAAGATATAATATTATTGATATCTCTAAATTAAACAACTGCAGTGAAATAATTCTGAATTTGATTGTGCTATAATTTATAAATAATAATTTATTGAATTATAGTATATTATAGTCGAAATTATAGTTAATTCCTGACAACGATCTATCACCGTGTAGGATAAAACATTAACGTCGAGTAAGTACTTACTTTTTCAATTCCCATATTTGTATCCAATATATTTTGAGAACTGTCACCCGTTGAAAATATTATCGACAGCCGATTCAACGGTCGCCGTTAAAAAAAAGTATTTTTTATTCCGTCATTTTCAGACCTTTTTAGACCCAAATTAATTTGGCTGGAATTTTTTTTTTCATAATACCTATGCTTTAGTATTATAGTTTAATTATTAAGGTTTTTTTATTACAAGTTTCGTAATAGTTGATTAATAATTTACTAATAATGTGTTCATCAGGTACAAAAAAAATGTTCAAGATTTGTATCGAATGTTCAAAGATCGGCCAATGTCGCCTAAAGAACTAGTGGCTTATTGGACGGAATACACGATCAATCATGGTGACGTTGACAATAATATCAGAACAACAGCAATTCGTCTCCCTTGGTATGAATATTATCTATTGGACGTTACGCTGGTCATATCATTAACATTATTGACCGCGCTGGCGATTTTACTGTACGCTCTAGTATTAACTAAAAAAATATTACGACCGTTAAAAAAATATAAATCTGATTAATCGTTGATATCGTTTTTTTAAATTTTTGAATGCAATTTGTCAAACCATAAAGGTTTTTAACAACGCTCATATGTTTTATGAATATTTGTATACTTTTTTTTTCTTATAGTTTGTAATTGAATATTATATCTAATTCTCTTGAGTTTAAATTGAAACATTTTTTTTGACAATCTGGACGATTTCGTTTCATAGAAATTAATTGTTCTGTAATAGCTAGATGCAACTGATTATTTGAAAAATTAAATATATAATACTATAAAATTGAACTATTATTATTTTTTTTTTATAATAAACGTGAACACGCGGAATGACGCTTTGATTATAGTACCCATTTCAATATTATAAAACCGTCTCAAGTTCACGATTCGTATCGTTTCGTTAAATAACTAAAACATAGTACGAATTACAATAAAAGGTTGAAAGTCTATGTCATGTAAAACACATTTCCGCACGGACAATATAAATAAATAAATAAATACAAATAATCGTGGTAATAACTGAGATTACGAACCTGCAACTAATATTGAATTCAGAAAATTTTTTCGGAAGGGAGGTGCTCACTTTTATGTACGACTACGTCACTGCACATTATGTCTAGTGTCCTATAAGTTTAATAACCCGTCTTCACCAACGACGATTCGGCTACTAAACGAATAACGAGACGGCATACTTTAATAGGAAAAAAAAGACGTCCTAGGATAATGAAGACGGGTGTAACCAATATTATAGGTAATTTCTGTGGCGTATTTATAACTTAATTTTTTTGGGGGAAGGGGGGTGAAAAGTTTATTACATTATATATTTATATAATTATATGTATAAATATAGTCTAATTATAAAATGAAATCAAGCTCTCTGTTCTTATTTGTTAAATCATCGATCTCAAATAAATACATTTTATAAAATTATCTGCATCCATAATACACTTTAAATAGAATGTAATAGTGCATGCTTATTAAATGTTTTAAATGCATGTTTCGAATTATCAAATTTAAATTTTACTAAAGCTCCAAGACTTTGGTTATTAATACCAGCAGCAGATTTAGCAAAACCAACACATACTTTACAAAAAGCACCATTTTTCATCGTCGAGTAAGCAACCAAGGCCAACGTAATAGCCAATTAAATTGAAATCTACTTGTCTGGTCTTTTTTATTTTTATTATAACTTTTGTTAACAGGACATGCAAAATTTAAATCAAGTTTCCAAAGATTAGTTAGAATTTAATTTATTTCAGCTGATGTTAAATTTCTCGAAGTAAAACAAGTTATATCTTTTATATTTATATTGTTAATATCTGGTGTAACGAGAGTATTTGAAGTCACAGAGGAAATTGATGTTACATCAAAGATATAAAAGATAAATCTTGTGTATTTATTTCCCATCAATAAATAAATTACTCATGAAATAATTTATATAAAAACGATATACCGAGAAACGATTGTTTTAAAACCACAAAAAAAAAACATCCCTGGGAGGGGTGGAAACCCCCTCCCTTAAATACGCCACTGGGTAGTAATTTAATATATATCTGTAAGCAAAGATAAACTATTGTTGATGAAAAACAATTCTGAGAGCAGTTCAATTGATAGTAATGCTTTATCTACAATATATATGTCATATTATGATAAAATAATTAAATAGGCATTATATATTTTCTTTAATATATATTTGTTTAATATTGTACCAATTTTTCCGTTTTTCCTGCATTTTCCCAGTTTTTCACATTTGTTGGGAAAACTTTCAAAAAAATCAAAAAATTGTAGACCTCTCTAAAGTACCTCCCTAGTCAGATTTCCTTTTAGAAAAACTGCTATTATTGTAAATCGGAGAAAATTTACTCGTAGAAAAGTTGTACACATAAAAAAAAGGACGTATTATTTTTTAACTAATACCTACATTTTGTAAATTTTCCCGTTTTTCCAACATTTTATTCCGGTTTTTTGCAAATATTATTAAAATCACTTGAAAATTAAAAAATGACCACTCGAAAGTACCATATACATAAATTTTCTTTCGGAAAATAAGCTACAATTGATAAATCAGAGCAAGATTTCTGGTATAAAAGTTTACACAACAAATCGTGAGGTTTTTCGCGATTAAAATAGTCCGAGCAAGCGATGGCTTGGGTTTCTAGGTATACCCAAAATGCATTTGTTTTTTCCTTGTTTAGGTAAAAGGGAAACAAAAATGCAAACAATTTTGTTCGATACCAGGGTTTGAACTCGCGACCCCTAGAATGACAAGATAAGTATGTATAACTATGACAAACATTCTTCAAAAATGACAATATGAAAAATTAGATTTGTTCCACATAATTTTTCACGTCAACGATTTTCATCAAAATTTGATACTCAAATTCCTCTATAAAAAGTATATTACATTAAAATCAAATGTTTTTTTACTACAAAGTAAGACTTTTAAATAATCTCCTAATAAATGTTCATGCATTTCTGTTAAGTCTAACAATTTTATCACACAGTACCTACTAATTAAAAATTATGTATAAAACTCTCAAAATTAAAATGTCTGTAAATAGCTCAAAAATTTGCTTAGTTTTTTTCGAAAATTTTACCACGTCTAGAAAAAGTAAATTTAAATTTTCTGTCCAAATTTAAGATCGATAAAGTCAATATAAATATTTTTAACTGAATTTCAACAAAAATGTTAAAATTTTTACAAAAAACCTAAAAATAGCTCAATGGTTTTAAAATGTTACCATGCCTATAAAAGGCAAATATAAGTATTTTGCTGGAATTTCAAGTCTTTATGAAGATTTTTTATTGAATTACAACGAATCACAAAAATGAACAAAAATTGAAATCATAATTTTCGTAAATTTACCGTCTTTTCCTACTTTTTCTTTTTATTGGGAAAACTATCGGAAAAATAAAAAAAACATCTTCCTAAAGTACCACCCCATGAAAATTTCCTTGCAGAAAAGTTATTACATCGTATACAACGGAGTAAGATTTCTGGTAGACATTTTGTACACAGTATAAAAAAATAAACATCTTTGTAAAACCAATACATTCTTCGCTATACTCAAATCTAAAAGTTTTAAGATTACAACGAAACGTATTCAAAATCATAAAACTAACAGTTAATAACTAATCAAAAACAAAATAACAAAAGCCGTTAATATATTATTCTAATATCGAAGTCACCTAATGAAATTCTATGTAAAACCAAAAAAACATTCTTAAACATAAAAAAAAACCTTTTATCTGCAACATTTTAATGTCAATAATAAGCACATCGTAGTGTATCCATCTAATTTTAAAGTAACGTTGATAATATAATATAATATTCAATTCTTTGCGGGTCGTGCCTATAGGCAGGTATTTGGCATAATATGCCACTGTTCGGCGGTGGCTGATGACTCTAAAAGTTTAAACCATTATTTAAAACTATTGAAAAATGTAAAATTCCCTAGTGCATATATTATGATGCGTATACGCATCGACCATAACACGGGACATAATATAAATCATTATTACCGTATGACGTAGGTACTAGGTGGCTAGTTAAATTCGTTTAGTGAAAAATTAACTGAAGGTCGATGAGTGTTCGGAAACATTATGCTCAGGCCAAGTTTTGATGAAATATAAAATATTCTATTGGAACAGCCAAATTGAAAGCGGCGGTGAAATTCTGCGCGAAATCGTCCAACGGGGACGCATAAAACTAAACGAATATACGGAACACAGCCGCTGATGTTTTTAATTAGAGAGGCGAGAGGTTGGTTACCGAAATATAGACTTTCGACGTTGTTTTCAGAATTATCATAATTTAAAACTATGATTGGCTAAAATGTTATCGTAATAAATATTCCTCGGGGACGGCTTGTAAGTTCTGAATGGCCGCGTTTTGTGAATAATATTATATATAACGGCTAGGGGACACAGACGGAAAAATGTAAATTTGTTATGAATGGAATTCGGATATTAAACAA